GAGAGAAAATTTGGAACTGTCTTGGAGTTATAAAGAAAAGGATGTACTCAGTACCAATCACAGTTTAAGCAAACCCTAAATCTGAACGATTATGGGTGTGATAAAGGATTTGACAGCAGAGTGTCTTATCATCAAATCCAAAGGGGGTTCAGTAGCGTTGGCCAAAAGTTCCTGCCATTTCAAGGCTTCTTTTGGTGACCCCTGAAGACCACAACCATGATTCATCTCTAGCAAGAAATTCCACATGTGCCTATACAAATATTTATGTAGTCAGTCCATGCTCATGAAGGTAGTCCATTTGCTTGCCGCCAAGAAATCCTGCTAATCAAACCCTGGCAAATGGGAAAGCCTGGCTTGACTGGGTGCAGTAAGGTCAACTTGTCCATACCAACGGCACCAGCTTTAACAAGTTGAAGGACACAAACAGCGCCAGTTGTAACACCATTTCACTTCGGGTGATATCCCATGTGTTTAGAATGGCAAATGTCCTGTTGACTTTGTCCATTTTTTCGGGGGCCTAGCTGGTGCTATTTACGCTATAAAGAGCCCATTCGCCCTGGATAATCTTGTCGCTCCACTTTGGGGGCGAAAGTTGCCCACCGAAAATCAACGGGAAATTTGGACATCGAGAACGTAAATTCCTTTGAATTATTCGGATGGAAGATTGCTTGATCTTGGTGGATGGACCTGCAAACCTATTCTCAACAGCACGGAAACCGAGAAGTCAAGGAAGTGAAATGACGAAATGGCGATGGGTCAAAACTCACCCTGTTCACACAGCTGGGACATCCCAAAATCCCACTGGGCAACCCATACCGACCTGGCTTTCAGGCGCAAGACCTGAGAGTTTCAGGATGACCTGGTAGGTCTTCGAACATTTGGAACCACCAAACAGGTCCAAAGCTCGTCATTCCAAGTCATGTTCCAATTACTTTGTAAGTCCTTCAACTGGCCATTCAAGAAACAAGGTGTTTGGATGTGTTTGGAACCTGGACTTGAGTGGCCACCCGACTTAGAATCGATGCTGACAATGGTGGCTGAGCCGCCCATCCCAAAATATGAACCAAGTGAAGAATAACATGGAATAGCCATCTCAACTAAGGCTGAAGACAACAACTATTCCAAACCATCAAGCAGGATTCAACGCGATCCAAAACTCCGCAGTGGTCAGGCCCTGTCAATAGCTGGATTTTAAAAAACGTGTGGAAAAGAAGTGTTTCATCGTTACTTGAACCTCAGGTTCACCCCGTTCTCCTCATCTCCCACGCCCTTTGATCTTTCACACCTTGAACCGAATGCAGACCCTCTGCCAGCAGCAAACCATAAGCCTCCTGCCATGTGGACATTGAAGGATGGGAACCAACACAGCGGACATGATGTCATCATCTGGGATGGATGGGTGTACTGTTGGGCACATCACAGGATGACTCACACCTGATTCTTCCAACCAAACATGTCAACCTAAAAAAAAAACATTGCCAACAAGAAAATCATCACAAAGAAAACATGGATTTTCCATCAATAAGTCAA